TGGAAGATCTAGCACCCGATGGTGGCTCAGCCACGGTTGGTGGTCGTCAACGAGCTGTATTCAGCACCTCCCTCCTCACGGCGCTTCATGTCACAATGTACCGGGAGCAAGTGGGCTTGGCACCCTGCCTCTAGTACAGAAAGGAAATCATTGTACAGAAAATTACCATGTGAATGCAAACGTTTCTTCTCGTGACAGAAGCCTGATGCAACTCCGTTCTTCATCAGTCACAGTATTCAATAACATCTCATTCTCGATGAATGGCTCAAACTCCTTGCAGTGTTTCTGCAACTTGCACACGGCAAGGATTATTAGAAAGCGCCATAGCCCATGGGCAACCTGCACCATCAACAATTCGCAACACGCCTAATTAGTCAAACATATGCCCGATGAAATCCTAACTGGGATTTACAATTCGCGAGTAACTTGCTACACAAAAAAGGCGTTTCACTGCATACCATGATGTACTGCACGACCATCTCCCAGTACTTCATTTGTCATTCCTTGTCGCCCTCCAGCTGGACATCCATTGCCCTGCTGACTACAATGGTTAGTCATATATGACCTAAAAGATAGCATAGATAGCCACAAAATCCCCCTATTTTGTCAAGATGATGAGTATTTGAACAAAACCTGAGGAAGCAGTTGCCATCCACAGTGACCTCAACTATCTTAAACCCAATGGAGTCCAACTGCGCCGTGAACTCTGACATGTCGGCCTTCTCATTCTTGCCGGACTTCTTCACCTGCAGATAAGAAAAAAAGGCAGTCTGAATTCTCCGATCCTAGGAAATCAAGGCGGTAACTCCCTGATCTAGACTCACATTCCAATTGTATACTACTAAGTCACAAAAATAAACAATAGTCCCACAATTTACAGTCCATGAGTTAGAAAAAATCATGCTGCTGGAACTAACTGACAGGATCCGAAACACTTCTCACACAACTAACAGTAACCAAAAGGATTTTGATGTGGGGAAGACATAACTCCTGTCGGCATGGGGTTCCTGGGTTCCCTCTTTCTACACTGCGGCTGTAGAAGAGAAGCAGTTCCTGTCAACCACAGCATCTGAAAAGCATATATAGTTACACTCTAATGCAACGTTTCATAACAGTCTAACCAGTTCATTTAAAGATTACAAACTTAGGTTTCTTGAGGTTTTGGTTACTCACAAAATGTGAACTGGTTAAATTATTTTCACAATAAACATAACATCTATGGTTCAGTAACAAAAAATACTATAGACTTCAACAACAACAACAACAAAGCCTTTAGTCCCAAACAAGTTGGGGTACGCTTCTTTTAGGTTTCATCTCCATAAGAGTGGCTCAGTTTTTACGTTGGCTCGCCAAGCCTATCACAACCCTCCTCCTTTACCCGGGCTTGGGACCACCTATGTTGAGACAACATTGAAAAATACTATAGACTTCACCCAAGAAAAAAATATTTCAATTTGCCATAGAAAGCGGTAAACCGCACCTTCGGTTCTTTTTGCAAGGCCATGTTTGCATACAATTTCTCAAGCTTCTCAACCCTACTCTTTGTCTAATACATGTTTTGGCTAAATATCATCTCACTGATGGACTATCTTTGAATGCATCATAAGGATCGTAAGTCAAGACAGAGAAAAAAGTATTTAGTCTAGAAAATAAAGTTCAGCTGTAGAGGAAAAACAGAGATAAACTTCTACTAATTGTACTTTGAAAGGATGAGTTCGACAATGGATAAATCAGAGTAATCCAGAGTGAACTATCCACTACCATAAATTGTTTAGTACATCGCACTAATGGCCTGTTACTTAGGCTTGACAAATGAGAACCCCCACTAACTCATCAAACTCCCACATCACTTGCAGTACCATGTTGTTTCATCCAAAAAATCCAAGAACACAAGTGTTGGAAGTACCATAAAGATCAGAACGGATAAAATCGGAAATGGGATCCTTTACCCTAGAGGGAGGTTGTCGACGTAGCTGACGAGCATCTTGAGCTTGAAGTGGATGTCTCTGTGCAGGCCATGATCCAGCTCAAGGAGCGCGTCAGAGATGCTCCATTGGCATGCCGAGCATCCCCTCTACCTCCTCAATCATCGCGGACACCTTCGTCAGAAGCAATGGCACCACACTTGTCAAGAAGAGAGGTGCCAACCTTGGCGTCTTCCTCCAGCCCATGCCCTTGCATCAACGCCTATTTCAGGAAGCAAACGGCAAGAGTAGTGGATAATCCCGACTCTGTCATGCCGCACCTCGTGCACCTCATGCCATCCTCGAGGAGCTTGGGCGCGCGCGGCACTTGAGGAGGACGGGGAAGGTGAAGCGGTCAGGCGCCCGACGGCGGCCAGCATGGAGCGGTAGGCGGCCAGAGCGCTGTCCGGGAGGCCCGAGTCAGCGAAGCCCGGGATCACGGCGTTGTGGAGGAACGCGTCCCGGCTCCCGGCGGCCGAGAGAGCCTCCAGCGCGGCGTCCAGGCGGCGGCATGGGATAGGACCAGTGTCCTGCGACGGCCGGTCGTTGTAGCTGAGCTCCCGCGGAGGGAGAGGACGACGGGGTCGAGCTCCCGTGGAGAGATAGGGAGGCGGGGATGGGTGCGACCGGCGGAGAGGCGGGAGCTCGCCGTCGACCAGGAGGACGGCGGCGGCGCTCAACCCTAGTTTGCGCGAGACAAAAGAGCTTGGTCGGGAGAGGGAGCGAGAGATGGGGGGAGCACGGGCGACGACGGGGCCAACCCAATGGAGTATAGCTGGCCAAACGGGCCGGCCCGGCCTGGCACGGCACGGCCCATCCTAATCGTGCCTGACACGGCCCGGCCCGCCTAGGCACGATTATTATACGGGCCATGCCGTGCCGGCCCGCGTGCTGCAGCCTGCAGCCCAGGCCCAGCCCGTATGCTAATCGGGCTGGCCCACCAGCACGCTAGGCCCACTAATCTACCTCCTATTTTATGCAAGTTTTTAGCCTATTTTTACCTGTTGGCCCATATTAGGATACATAAAAAAAGTTAATCGGGTCGTGCCACGCTGGCCCGCGTGCTCGCCCTTCAGGCCCAGGCACGGCCCATGGCGTGCCGTGTGCCGGGCCTGGCCAGTTTAGCACGTGTCGTGTCGTGCCAGCCCGTGCCGTGCCGGCCTAGCTATCCTGGCCCGTTTGGCCAGCTATACAATGGATTGCGGGTTGATATGACACCTTGTTTAGGGGCAAAAACGCAAAACAGCATGACGGACGAACGACGAAAAATTTGGACCAGCGAAACGCAAAACACGCAATATCTTTTTTTTTAGCTGTGCTACGCGTCCGCCGGCTGATCTTTCTAAAAGTTCAGCCGGGCCGTGAGCCGTCAAATCTAGCGCATCGAGCGGATGAGCGGTGTCTCCATCATTGCAACACAAGTCTTGTTGCAGAATTTGTTTTTGTAACATTAGTCCAGTTGCAGAAAAGTTTTGCAATAGAGATGTTGCTCAATTTTTTTTTCACAACATAGATCTTGTTGTAGAATATTTTTTGTAACAGAGGCCTTGTTGCGGAACTTTTTTTACAAATTATCGCAACATAGCTCTTGTTGCAGAAATATTTTGCAACATAGCTCTTTTGTTGCAGAAAAGCACCCGAGAAGAGAGCGCCGTGAGAGCTCGTTTGTTGAGAGAGAGAGAAAGGGGTAAGGAGAGAGGTGGGAAAGAGAAAGGGGCTGGCGGCATAGCGCCGTGAGGGCTCGTTTGTTGAGAGAGAGAAAGGAGTAAGGAGAGAGGTGGGAAAGAGAAAGGGGCTGGCGGCAGAGCGCCGTGAGAGCTCGTTTGTTGAGAGAGAGAGAAAGGGGTAAGGAGAGAGGTGGGAAAGAGAAAGGGGCTGGCGGCAGAGCGCCATGGGAGCTGAGAGAGTTAAGGAGAGAGGAGGAAAGGAGAAAGGTGCTGGCGGCTGCGTCCTTCGACGGTGCTAGATAGGAGTTGGGAGGGACAGAGTGAAGGACGAAAGGTTGGTGGGGCTTGCTGAGATTTCCTGGAAATGAAGGCATGATGGGATAAGGTTCAGCAACAAGAATGCGTGGCTTACAGGGACACGCATCAAGCAGCGTTGGTGGGGCTTGCTGAGATTTCCTGGAAATGAAGGCATGATGGGATAAGGTTCAGCAACAAGAATGCGTGGCTTACAGGGACACGCGTCAAGCAGCCCAAGCGGTTGATGCACAGGATGTAATCAGCCGGATGAGGGGAAGCTTTTCCCAATAAAAAAATTGGATAGAGAATGCATTCAAAAGCCTAACCTAAGCCTGCTGGTTTTCTTTCGGCCCACCATCTACTCGTGTGCCTCTATGCCACACGATCGTTACCAAAAAAAAACACTTTGGATGGAGCTTAGCTAACTCCATCCAGCTGCAGCGATCAACAAACCTACCAGCACGCCATCCAATCCATTGTTACGCCAGTACGGTGGTACACACCAAACGTAGAACAGAAAGATAAACCAGAGAACGCTGCTATACACACGATGCCACGCAGACGATTTGTGGACGATGCTAAATTCAAGCCATGTGATGCACAGCAGCAGCACTGTTCTACGGTTGGATTTGACTGTCGGCTACACATCGTGTGTGCAGTTTCGTCTGCACAGCAATTTCGTAAACCAGAAGGTGAAAAACTTGCTGATTTGTATGCTAAAAAAAACAGCAACCTGATACATGCCTCGACCACTTCAGTGAATAGGTTACAGTGCCACAAATAGGCACTGTTGTGGGGATTACAAGTGGTCAAGCATTTATTTTATTACTAGGATACATCGCTCATAATTTAGGAAACTATACAACAGCATATTAGCTCCCTCGACTGATCAAAAAGCATACCAGCATTTCTGCTGATTTTGCATTCATAGGCACATCCCCGGAGGTCGAGATCAAGTAAAGCGTATAGTATAGAGCTTCCTGCAGCTTATTTCCCTTGCCAACCAAAAACTTGCTCTCGTGTAGCGAGCACGAGGAGTGAAGGTCTGAAGGATCAAATCCCCGGGAGAATATCAGCAGAACCGCAAAGCGTGCTCAAGTTCCTTCTCGTCGGCACAGCTGTAACCCAACTGATAAGCTCGTGCTGTTCACAGAAGCAACACATGGATCAGTAACTCAATGCACTGTAATGAATCAACAAACTTATCAAATTTCCATTTACAGGACTATCTACCACACTACCAGAGTACCAGTATTAGTAGGTTATATAGCAATAGTACTCCCTCTGTAAAGAAATACAAACGTCTTATATTTCTTTACAGAGGGAGTAACATATAGGATAAAAGAATTGCAACTCTTTCACTTCCATAATGCTCTTCTTTGGCCGTGGCCGGCCCACTTGGGTAAGCACATTTTAGATAACCAAATATCACCTAGCAACTACGCCACCTTCTCCCCCTAAAAAAAAAACTACGCCACCTTCTGCAACATGATCAAACACTCCATAGCAGCAGAACGGGCATTTATATTTCTAACAAGTAACTAGTCCGATTTATAAATCGACAGCTTGATGTGTGACATCCCTGTAACATGAAAAATGTCCAAATCTACTTCGTTCATAATCTGACATAGCAACTCCACAATATTAAAATTTGCTCTAAGAATAAAACGCAACATGCATGATGGAAGAATATTTCTCAGTAAATAAAACTCGAATTAGTACCAAATCGTCCAGATCCCATGAATGGCTCTGCTTCATCAGTCACGCCACCTTGCTGCTGATCCTAAAATTGCCAAAAAGTAAAGCTTAGTGATAAGTACGGGATCAGACAAAGAAATTCAAATAGAAATGATGAACTGTTGGCATCATCAATTAAGGATTATAAAGACGAATTCGCTCAGGTAAGATCATTCAAACCCGTATCAGGTACATTCTTACAATATATGGCCATTGCAAAGTTTTTATGGATAAAAGAGGATATGCCATGCATTGGGACTTACAGCATCACAAGTGTCCCACTCATCATCAGGACATAAAAATCTCTCAAAACAGTGCCCAGATATCGTACAGACAAGTAACCCGCTAGCTTGGTCCAAGACAAATTCACGACAGGCATCATCGCAGACTGAAAACAGCAGAAAACAACGTTGTCAGGCATGAACAATTATATGTGACGAGTGAGGAAATATAAATATACCATGTACACGACCAGTCTTCTCACAGATATAAGCATCACCAATCTGCTTATAGTAGCAAGTACTTCCGGAGCAAGAATGCCCCTTGACTGCATCATCGGTAAGGCCTCTGCGGCTTTTCCAACTAGACACCTGATCAGCTACTGTCTTATCAAGAACAATCTTGTCGTCGTTAACCTTTAAAATTCAGACAAAAAGGTTTAAGTTTAGGCCAACAAAAGATAATTCTTTGGAATGTGAGACTGCAAGATAGATTGATGAAGAGTAAATTTCGCAAAACTAGAGATTCATACTACTATGATGGAACTACATATTTAAGGAATTTTTTCACATACTACAGATTTACGGGGCATTTTGTCACAGAACTACAGGTTTCCTGTCGCCCTAACTTTCACGGCTTCTTGTGAAGAACAGGTTTTTGGGGCCTAACTTCCCTTCTTGTACCCACATCAAAATGGTTGTGCCAAGTTGCCAACCCACTCAAGAAAATGAGAACTTCAGCAAGTAGATTGAGAAAACCATTTTGAGGAGGTTTGCTTATGGGCCTGGGAAATCAGGGATGTTCAGAAGAATTTCAGTCCACCATAAAATCTGTACTTTTGTGATAAAAACAGCCACTAAATATGTAGCATAGTGAAATCGTTCCTCTCCAAAGTTTGTACACTGAACATGTAGTTTTGTGAAATTTACACATAAAAAAGAGATAATAAAGCCAATAAATCAGTGATTACTTCTGAGGGAAGGGGTGCCTGACTCCTTTTTGCAGCCTGCATCTGGATATAGTACTCTTTGAATTCTGTAGGGGTATATCTCACGAATTCAACCATATCTTCTCTGTCTTGCTGGGGTTAAGAACAACAATAACATCATTAGAAAATGCATATGTTGCAACGTGAAAATGAAATATTTAGCTCTTATCAAAACAGAACAGTAGTTCTGTACACTCAACTGCTTGTGTACATGCACTTATTCTGGAAAAAAGAAACTAGTTCAAATTATATCAACTGTTCACATTAAGCTAAATGGATATGGCTTATGAACTTGGAAGATTTAAAAAAAAACATATACCTATCTTTATTTACGATTCAACCAGCGTCACATCACTTAATAAGAGAGGGATGAGCTCGCTAGGAGGCTCAACAAAAAAACTATTACAAGACTAATTGTGCGATTTGATCATCAATGCCCACGGCTTCAACGAGATCAAACTAGAAGTATTGATGGAAAAACAGGTGGGACTACCTGAATGTAGAGGCTCTTCCAAGCACACTCCCTGAGTTTTGCGTTAGAGGTAGCATTAGAGGACAGGCCCCACCTCATACAATACCTTACAAAAACAGAAAGGGATGAAAAAACGTTAGCCAAATTCACAAATTGGAACAGAAGGGCAATATTTATCTAGCTTACAAGCGGCGCCAAAGGGTCTCGTCAGATGCGGCGGCGTTCATGAAGCGACACACAAGGGCACACGAGATGAGGTCCTCCGAGGAGAGGAACTTGAAGATCTGCAGGAACAGCTCCGGGGGGACGTTGGTGAACATGCCCGTGTCAATCTGAGGCGGCCCCTCTGCCAAAACCTTTCCTTTTCCCTTCTCCTTCCTCGCCCTCTTCTGATGCTCGTCCTCGCTGCCGCTGCCATCTCCGTCCGACAGCGAATCTTGCTTCCTCTTACCGTTCTTCGCCTCATAGTTCACCCCCGTCTCCTTCTCCTCCTCGCCCTCCTCCAGCTGCTGCAATCGAATCCCCAATCACGACAATATTCGATGAGGAAATTAGGAGGGAAAGAGAGATCGAGCGCACTTACGTCGAGAGGATCTTCCTCGCTGGATCCGGAGAGGATCTCGAATTCGAGGAAGCTGGCGAGGCCGTCGACGTCGACGTCCTCTTCTTCCTCGCCGCCGCCGGCGGCGGCTTCGAGCTCACCTTCCTCTTCCAGATCCGGCTGCCCTTCATCGGGGTCGGGTTCCGCGGCCGCCGCGGCGCCCAGGTCCTTCCCGTCGGCCATGCTCGTCCTCCTCTTCGCCGTCCACCTCGCCACCGACGGATCGCCGCTCCTCCCTTACCCTGGAGATATTGGTGCGGTTGGACGATGCGTCACGTGAGCCACCAGAACACGGCTTGATGGGCTGAATCATACAAGGGCCCAGTTCCTACACCTGCTTGCCGCAAGGGGATGTGGTGGGCTCGCATTAATGGTTGATTGGGCTCGACGCTATTGTGATTGGGGCCGATGGTCACTCCGGATTTATTTATTTTTGCCTAAAAAACTGTTTGTTTTTTTGGCAACAAGAGTGACGTTGGTGCTAAGTTTTTTTTTTTGCATAATGGTGGTAAGTTTTTGTTATTGGTAACATTTGTTGTTAATGTTTTTTGCCGGTAACATTGGTAGTAAGTTGAAAGAACCTTTTAAAAAAAGGGAGACGACTATAGCTCACTGAGTTACGGCGTGACGGTCGTAATCGTGTTAGGGATGATACATCAAACGTGTGCACCATATAATTCTCGGAGAAAAGGACTTTATATTTTACTTTTCTAGATCATTTTTTCTAAACCTCGGACCGACTCAAATAGAACAGTCAATTTGTTACTTAACGTATGATTGTGAAAAAAATACAAATCCGATGAAGGTGCCAAAAAATTGGGCCGAGAAGTCCAATGCCATTATTCTAAATAATAAAGTCGACCTAGAATGTATTTCCTTGATTTTTTTAGTCCTCAGTGGAACATCGCCCGGGTCTCATCTAAGGGAGTAAGGGCCTCTCCAAGACAGACCCGTAAACCTCCCGCAACCGTCTGAACCGCGTTGTCCGGAATGTGAAAGTCATCCAACGCGGTCCTATATCGATCCGCGGAGCGAGCTGGGCGCGATTTTTCTCGCAAACCTTAGACTAATGTAAGAGGTTGCAGTAAATTTTTCTTTTCTTTCGTTTTCGTTCTCTTTTTTCCCTTACCTTTTTTGTTTCTTTTTTTCTGTTCTTCTGAGTAAAACACACTTATACTTTTTTTTCATATACATGAGCACTTACTTTTTAATTATGTGAACACTCTTTTTCAAACATATGATCAATTTTTCAAGCTATATGGAGCTCTTTTATGTACAATTGTTTTTGTATAAATTGTTATAAAAACATAAAAAGAACATTTATTTTATATGAGTGGAATTTCTCCTTCAAAATATAAAGTAGTTTTACACATGCAGATCAATTGTGAGAAAAAAAACAGTAAAGTTTTAGCACACGTAAGAAAAAATGAGCTTTGTTTAGCATTTTTAGAGTGGTAGGAAAATAATAATTTCTTTTCAAAAAGGTGTTTTTATGTGTGAAAAATGTTCATATGTATCTTGAAAGATATGATTATATTTTCTAAAATATTAACATGCTGCAAAAACAGTGTTAATGTATCTCTAAAATAATATACATGCTATTCGCAAAATAAAATAATATACGTGCATTACTCATACAAAAGTTAAAAAATTAAAACGGAAAGTACATAAAAAGGAAAAAGTAACAACAAGGGAAAACAAACAAACAATAATTAGATAAAATAAAACATAAAAGAATGCAAAAAAAAATCTATTATAACAACAGATGAAAATAGAAAAAATGAAAAGAAAGGGAAAGGAAGAAACCGACACTACCGGGAGGACCAAGGGCGGAGTGTGCCTATGCGACCGCGTGCTATTGCTTGCAAAGAGTGGTATACAGATTTTGCTGCAAATTGGTGATTTCTCCCATGTGAAACTTATTCTATGTTCAAGGAGGTGGCCAGTTGCATTCCTCGTCAAGGCAACTCTATTTTACAATGCAAAGACAATTGGCAAGGACATCTCTGGGCATCCAATTCCCTGAATTACACTCATATGTCCTAGACAATCAGGTCACTGTTCGAAGCATGCTGAGTGAGGAAAATGTAATTCATAATTTGCATACTCCAATATCCACTCAGGCTCACACTCAACTCCTTGCCCTTCAACAAAGACATTGGATCACAGAGACATTTCACCAAATTACATGCTGATCGGGGCTTCGTCATGACTGCCACTTCGATTCATCCTTTCAGCAGCGCGGAGCTGTTGGCTAAGTAGGCAGCGGCGAGCGAGGGAGCCCCACAAGTTGGGCACCACGTTCGGCGCACCGTGTCGGGTGCGGACGCGGTGGGCGACGGCGATGGCTCGCTCGCCGGGTTGCAGGCCGACGAGAAGGGGAGTTCCCCCTTTCCCGCGTTGTGCATCCGTCCGGCCGGTTGGTGAAAGGGACGGAGATACTTCCGCGCTCGGGCCGATGATCTGGCGTCCTCGTGTCGTTGTCGTCTTCCCTGGCGAGCCTCGGCCACAGGAGCGCACGGCTCACGTCATGGCTTGCGAGTTCTTTTTTTTGGAAGCTTCTGACTGGTTGGTTTGTTGGGCCACGCCCCGTGGGCCAAATTCTAACGTCGCAATTTGAAGAGGCTTGTCCAGACAGGCAAAAATGAGCAAACCCCTATACTCAAACACATGGGCTGGGTCCAGCAGTGCAGTAATTTTTCTTTTCTTTCATTTTCGTTCCTTTTTCCCTTTTTTTTGTTTCTTTTTTCTCTGTTCTTTGAGTAAAATACACTAATATTTTTTCATATACATGATCACTTATTTTTTTAATTATGTGAACACTCTTTTTCAAACATACAAACATTTTTTTCAAGCTATGTGGAGCTCTTTTATGTACAATTGTTTTTGTACAAATTTTACAAAAACATAAAAGAACATTTATTTTATATGAGTGGAACTTTTTCCTGCAAAATATAAATTCTTTTTACACATGCAGCTCAATTTTGAGAAAAATACAGTAAAATTTTAGCACAATGTTCCGGCGAGGGTTTCAGAACAGACAAACCTCATTGGATCACAGAGACATTTCACCAAATTACATGCTGATATCGTGTTGCATCTTAATGATGTGCGCCTCTTTTACGAAGCTGATCTTCGAACCACAACTCGATCGCGAGTGATAAGTAAAACAAACAAATCAACTAAACTGTAATATATGTACTGTACAGAACCACATATGAGGCTGGCTATATAGTTTTCCTCGGCTATTTACATGCTACTATCTTCATTGTTTGCCTGTATAAGTAATTTTCTTCTGCGGTAATGCTGTATAAGCTGCATATGTACGTACGTTCTTGTCGCTAAGACGAATGAACCTATAATGAATAGAATAGTAGAGTATACGCCATTGGCGGGCTAAGCAGAGCAGGGCGGAGCAGAGGAGGAGAGCCCGAGGAGGACAATGGGCGTCGGCCGGGCTGTGTCGTGCTACGGCGACCTGGAGCGGCAGGTGTCGTGGTCGATGGGCGCGACGTTGCCGGTGCGGTAGTAGAACTCGAGGGGGCAATTGAGGTGCGTCCAGAAGCCGACCTTGAGGAAGACGTCCTTCTTCCACCGCGTCCGCGCCTCGCCGGACAGGGTGATGGGCACCAGCTCGGATCTGATCGCCTCCTCCATGGCCTGCATCCCGGCGGGGGCCAGCCTCCTCCCGCGCGACTCCCCGCTGTACGGCAGCGTGACGGAGCTCTCCCGGGCAACGGTGAAGGTCTCGGCGCTCAGCTGTAGCAGGGTGGTGCCGTTGAAGTTGACGTTGAAGCTGGAGAAGGAGGTGTCGACCTTGGAGTTGGTGTTCTTGGCCAGAAGATCGAACTTGAACTGTATGTCCCTGATGACGCCGTCGGTCGGGCTGTAGTCGAGCCGCAGGAGCTGCGCGTTGGTCACCTCCATGTACGGCATCTGGGGCTTGTAGATGAGATACACGGCCATCATCGTGGCGCCCACCACGATGACGCCGACGAGCAGCAGCGTGCACAGGATCACCGCCATCCACACCCACGGGGAGCTCCTCTGCCTGTCGTCGTACCGCGGCCCGTTCCACCCATGGCGGCGATGACCCGCCTCAGCCGACCTCTCGTGGTGGTGGTGGTGGTGGTCCGCCTCCATCCTGCTACTCCGGCCCTCATCTCATGTCGCGGGCGCTTCTGTTGGGAATAACCCGTGGCGAGTCTGGCGAGCTGGTGCGCGCGAGCGTGTGCGGTGGGCGCGTCGGACTCGGGCCAGGGCAAGGTTGGGTGTGTGCGTGCGTGCCCAAGTGTAGGCGTGCGTGTGTGGTCAGCGCGTGTGTGCGCTAGGTAGCTAGCGAGGGATCGGGAGGAGTGGACCGCGTCGGGTGCGTGCGTGGCCGCGGCGATCGCGTGCATGTGCGATCGGAGTGCGCGAGCCGGTGCACGCGCGGGATGTGGCGAGTGGCAAGTGGGAGCGTATGTGTGCGGCCCGGCATGTCGGAG